GCATTAACTAATGTTAACAAGCACAACTTTTAATTTTAATAATGCATGAAATGTTGAAATTAACATTAACTAAGATTAATAAATGCTGTAGAGGTATTGTTCATGTTAACTAAAGTAGTTAACTAATGTTAACTTATTAACCTTATTGTAAAGTGTTACCAATAATAATAATAATAATAATAATAACTTTAAAAAAAAAACTTTCTCACTAATTGTATAGTCATGTTCTTGAGAATGTGATCAAAATAACTCCGTCTGTTGTGTTCTGGGTTATTACAGGCCCAGCTTTTGTCTTTCTAATGTCTCAAGTCTGATCATTGCTGAAGTCAGAGAAAATGAAACTTGTAGTTTTGTTTAAACAGTCTATCTTGCCACTCCCCATCCCCTCTTTCTTTCACTTCCTTTTATTCTATTTTTTCTTTTCTATGTGATATTATTAAGATTATAATCATTATTACTATTGGTTTTTTTTCTTTTCTTTTCTTCCTCTCTTAAAGATTCCTTGTCATTTAACCACTGGTACTTTTTGTATAAGTGTGATTATAGCAGCAGTGACAGTAAACAACAATAATCATTTAAACATTGTACTTAATATACATTTACATATAAAATATCCTGTTTTTCTTCTACATTCTACATCATTGTTTTGTGTGTGTGCTTTCTGTATCATGTCTTAATAAAAAAAAAATCTAAAAAAATGTAAGTAAAAGGAAATAAAATAAAGCATTCATAAATAAACAATTTATGCATGACTCTCTTATGCAGAACACAGAGAGATAATCTATTGCTTTCATCTTATGGACAAAAAGCACACAAAATATCATCTTTTGTGTTCTACAGAAGAAAGTAAGTCAAACAGGTTTGGAATGATGTGAGAATGAGCAAATGATGACAGAATTTTCATTTTGGGGAAAAACTATCCCTTTATGAATGTTGGTTTAAGCAGACTTATACATTCCTTATTAAAATATTAGCTTAAGTTTCTGTTTCTAGTAACGTCTTGTTTCAATTTCCTTTTTTCATAAAGACCCACCCCTTTGACAAGCTATAAAATGAGCACTGAAACAGACACGTCATTTCATTCACCTCCTGATCAAAGATGGATCTACAGATCTCAGTTTTTCTTCTGTTCGTTCTTTTCACTGCAGGTACAAAGACAAATAGTGT